GTGGGCTTCCTTCCTTCCTCCCCTCCCCTAACCTCCCCTCCCCCCTCTTTCCTTCCTTCTTTCCTTCCTTCTTTCCTTCCTTCCTTCTTTCCTTCCTTCCTTCCTTCCTTCCTTCCTTCCTTCCTTCCTTCCTTCCTTCCTTCCTTCCTTCCTTCCGGGAGAGAGAGAAACATTGATGTGAGAGTGAAACATTGATTGGCTGCCTCCTGCATGCCCCCTACTGGGGATTGAGCCCACAACCTTGGGCATGTGCCCTGATGGAGAACTGAATCAGCAACCTTTTGGTGTATGGGATAACACTCAACAACTTAGCCACACCAGCCAGGGATAGATTGCTGATTTCTATTTGCTAATATTTTGTTAAGGATTTTTACATCCATGTTCACAGAAGATGTTTAGTTTTCTTTTTTTGTAGTATCTTTGGTTTTGGTATCAAGTTAATAATGTAAGCTTCATAAAATGAATTGAGAAATGTTCTCTCCTTTTCTGTTCTCTGGAAGAGATTGTGTAGAACTGGTGTTAATTCATCTTTAAACCTTTGGTAGAAGTCTCTAGTGAGCCATCTGGGCCAAGAGATTTATTTTTGGGGAGTTTTAAAATTAGGAATTTAATTTCCTTAATAATTATAGGGCTGTTCAAATAATGTAATTCATTATGAGTGAACTGTGGTAGTTTGTGATTTTTTATTTTGTTTTATTTATTTTTAATCCTCACTTGAGGATATTTTTCCATTGATTTTTAGACAGAGTAGAAGGGAGGGAGGGAGGGAGGGACTGAGTGAGAGAGAGAGAGAGAGAGGGAGAAGGAGAGAAAGAAAGAGAAAGAAAGAAAAAAAGAAAGAGAAACATTGATATGTGAAAGACACATCGACTAGTTGCCTCCTACATGACCCCAACAGGGGTTGGGGATCAAACCTGCAACCCAGGTACGTGCCCTTGACCAGGAATCAAACCTGTGACCCTTCATTCTGAGGGCTGATGCTCTAACAGCTGAGCCAAACCCACTAGGGCAATAGTTTGTGTTTTTAAGACTCTTGTTTATTTAAATTTTCTCTTTTACTTGGCCTTTTATGACATGGCCCTGGCAGAGGAGGGGAGTGTTGTTGCACATTTCTGCCAGATAGAGGTGGAAATCTCCACTTGTTACTTCCCAGCAAGGGTGGGTGTTCTGGCTCCCCTCACAGTCTCCACTGACATAATGGTGAGGGTGGCCTTGTTACTGCTGGGCGATGGTTCAGGTCTTGACTCTTCACTAGGCCTCATCTGATACCATCCCATTGTGAAGGGGCAGGGGCACCTTGATACAGGCTGGGGAAGGTGGAAATCTAGGCTCCCCACATGGCTTTTGCTGGTGCGGATTGAGTGGTTTTTGCCTAGAGCAGAGCAGAGCAGTCGTTGTATAAAAGTTTTCCTTCTTGCTAGACTGCCTTTCCCCTGATCTGGCTACAGAGAGCCGGTTTTTTGTGGGGCTCTTTTTATCTATACCCCTTGGTGTTTCCAGGTTGCTGCCTTCTTCAGCTCCAAGTCTGTAATACCTGAGGTAAGAAGAAAATCCAAGGAACTCACCACTGGGTCATTTCTCAGGTCCGTAGGTCTCTAACTGCTTTGGCTATTCTCTCCACCGTTCAGAGTCTTCTTGTGTTATGTTATATATATTATGCAGGATTTTAGTTGTGTTTAGTGGGAGGAATAGGGGAAAGTATGTTTACTCCATCTTCCTGGAGGCCAGTATCAAAATTCATTATGAACATGTTAATTTGAAGGTCAGACATCTAAGAGGAGATTTCAAGTAGGCTTTTGATTTATGAGTCTAGAGTTCTGGTAGTTCATGGAAGTTCTCTTCTGACCACTTCGTTTTTCTCAGAGAAGTTAGGAAATGATGTCATCAGTTGAAAGCGAGGACAACAGAGAAGGTGTTGGAAAATTTGAGGACAGAGGAAAATGTGAGTGGTCTCCTAAGGGAGCAGGAGGGTGGACGGACTAGGAAAATACGGTGTAATTGCCAACAGCATTACATGTACACCTGAGTTTTTGGCATTGAATTTAAAATGAAATAAAAACAGGGGCATGGTTGTATTTTTATTTTCAGCCATGCTCAGTTGCTTGCTGCAGGTGGGGACTAGTCAGCGAGTTTGATTTAACTTGGGATGTAGCCTCACCAAGTAAGTGGGACAAAGTGAGCGAAGGAGAAGGGGATTGACGGTGTCTGAGAGGGATACCAGCTGACACAGACTTGAATCTGGGTAAAGAGGGATGAGAGTGTATTGGGTGAGGGACTAAAAGGTGACAGGATCAGAGAATTGTGGTCCTGATGGATTCAGACTACCAGAATGAATTCGAAGGATAAAAGGTCATGTCAGCGAGTGGGATGCATGAAATTAAGATTCTGGAAGAGTTGTGATGAGAGATACTATGGGAGTGAGAAGTTAAGGTAAGGGAAAGTGTTGGCTCATCAGAAGAGAAGAAGAGATCAAGGATTTTGAAATCAAGACAGGAGTATTTGGGTCGAGTAAACTCAAGTTAGAAGCTAAAATCATTGAGAATTAGGGGTCCTAATGGGGAGTTTGTGGACAAAAGTTAGTGGGTGATAGCTGAAGACAGGAGAATCAAGGCTGGGGCATTTAGGGAGGGGAATGGGAGAACGGGTTAGAATAGTTCCCCTCCTCCAAACTCAGCATACAAGGATCGGAGAAAAAAGAGCTATTAATTGAAAGGGCTGCAGGGACACGTCCTTAGGGGAGATTCGGGTTTCAGTTATAACAAGAAAGTGAAAGATGAAAGATGGGGTTTGCTGGTGAGTGACTGAATTCTAGAGTGCCGAGTGGAGGGGTTTGTGGACATGGACAGGGGTGGGAGATGGAGGGTGAGTTACCATCATTCCCACTCCTTTCAGCTTATGTCCTTTAAATGTACATGACTGTTCAAAAGGTCAAGCATACAAAAATAAGGTTTTAAGTTTAGTTTGGCTGCCAGCTTTAAAATTTTATTTTAAAACATGTTTTTCCACACTTTGTCAGAAAAATTAAATATATCATAGAAATATCAGTTTGTAAATACCTGAATCATAACTAAGTTGAGGTGATAAATGTCAAAATTCTTTTAAGAAATTCCTGTTAATGGTTTTCTGAATAATGTACTCAGTTGTAGTCCCTGTTTATTTCTTTTCTTCTAGTGAAAAATTTCAAGGAACCAACTGTTGCAACTTTTTAGGAGAGTTTTGTTAATTTACTGATTTACTAAATTATTTTTTTGATACTCTATTCAGTCCAATTGAGATTAGCTATTTATTTTTTCTATATGTAATGGATGTCAACTATGATACACAAACCAAAGTGTATTCACATAGACAAAGAGTTGTCTGATAGGTTGTTTATTTGTGTGCATGCAGACCTATTTTTGAAAGCTCAGGAATGATTTGGTTTAATTTTAGCCTGTAAAATATTTTTCTTTACTTTGATAGACTTAAAAATATTATGTATTAAAATTTTTTTTTTATTGATGTTAGAGAGAGAGGAAGGGAGAGGGAGAGAGAGAGAGAGAGAGAGAGAGAGAGACATCGATGAAAGAGAACATCAATTGGCCGCCTCCTGCATGCACCCCACTGGGGATCAGGCCCACAACCTGGACATGTGCCCTGACTGGGAATTGAACCAGCAACCTCTTGGTGTGTGGGTTGACGCTCAATCACTGAGCCACACTGGTCAGGCTATGTGAGTATTTTTAAATCTCCCTTGACATTTTAAAAAAGTATAATGGGACCTTGCCAGTTAGGCTCAACAGTTAGAGCATTGGCTCATGGATGAAAGAGTCGAGGGTTCGATTTTGGTCAAGGGCATGTACCTTGGTTGTGGTTTGGTCCTGGTCCTGGTTGGGGTCAAGTGGGAGGCAACCAATCGATGTCTCTCACATCAATGTTTCTTTAAAAAATTTTTTTTCTTTATTGATTTTAGAGAGAGAGGAAGGGAGAGGGAGTGAAAGATAGAAACATCGATGAGAGAGAACACTGATTGACCACCTCCTGCATGTTCCCCACTGGCGTGTAACCTGGGCATGTACTCTGGCCAGGAATTGAACCGGTGATCTCTTGGTGCCTGGGTTGACACTCAACCACTTAGTCACCTGGCCGGACAATATAATGGATATTCTTGAAGTTGTTGAACAGATACTACATTAGATTGTAAATTAGAAACACTTCAATTTTAGCAGGTATGCCTCTAAACTTTTGGAATATAGAGTTACTTCTGTAAATAATTTAACTTTTACTATAGTAAATCATGATGAGTGGGTAGGAGCATAGGGAAATAAGAGCTTGTATGCATTTAATATTATTCCCACCAAGATTGCCTTTCTTAATCTTTAAAATAGTCTAGTTCACACTGTGTTTTTAAGCTCCAGTTTCCAATTCTTTTCCTTTAGGAGTTTTCCCTTTCTTCTTCCTAAGACTATATCTATATATTTAATTTGGGGCAGGGGTGGTCTTCTAGTTCTGGTAGCACTTAGAAATGCTGTCTGCATTAGCTTCTCTTGGATTTGTTGTATTGTTTTGAAAGTACTTGAGTTCAGATTTCATATCTAGTTTGTGACCTACTTGAACTAGGATCAACCACTGTTTTTCTGCTCTGGGCATAGGGTGGAGTCTGGCTGGGCAAAGATTACTGAAGTCCAACCCCTTCGTGAAAAGAAAACAGGGGATGGGTGAGAGCTGTGTGTGGACTGTCATTGTGACTTAAAGTCAAACTCCTCTTTATTCTTTCTTTTTTTCTTTTATTGGCAGGCTAGGTCTTCCTTGCTGCTTAAGTTGTTACTGTTTTTATCTGATGAATAAATGACTTAAGAAGAAAACTGCTGCCTATCGAGACTTATTAAACTAAATCTCAAGAGCAAGATATAGGAATTTAGCAAAGATGAATGCTTAGTGAAAAATTTAGGTTAATATGCTTCTAGCTTAATGGATATAAAGTCAGAGATTTCAGTTTAATGTTCTTTATTCACTTATTTTAGCTGTATCACTGACTGATTCACTGAGCCAGACTGAACTCACGGAAGATGTTTCTATTCCAAATATGAGTGCTGTTTTAACAGAAGAAATACAAATCAAACCGTCTGTTTCCCAAATCAACACGACTCTCCCTCCCACAACTAGTACAGAGAAAAGTGGAAGGGCATCTGTCTCCCCTCATCCCTCACCTACTACTTCTCTGTCCCAAGAGGAAGCTGATAATAATGAAGATCCTAGCATAGAAGAGGAGGATCTTCTCACACTGAATAGTTCTCCGTCCACCGCCAAAGACAGCCTGGACAATGGAGATTATGGAGAACCAGACTATGACTGGACCACCAACCCTAGGGACGATGAGTCCAGTGAGACGGTGGAAGAAAACAGGGGCTACGTGGAAATTGAACAGTCAGTGAGATCTTTTAAGACCCCATCCTCAAATATAGAAGAGGAAGATAGTCATTTCTTTTTTCATCTTATTATTTTTGCTTTTTGCATTGCTGTTGTTTACATTACATATCACAACAAAAGGAAGGTAAGTGGATTTTTCAGCCCCTCTAGTTGCCCTTTAATATCTGAGTCATATTTCTTATTCATGCTCTTGATGATTCAGGGTTTCTTCTCTAGTCAAGTTCAAAATGATAAAATATCAAGATGCCTAATCAGTTTATAAATCTGATTTATAAACAAATTATAGTCACAGTGCTTTACTACATGTGTTTCTAAGAAAGGAAATTGATTTTCTCACTTGAGAAATGACAAAACTGGACCAGATAATTTCAGAATGCCTTCCAGCTTTGAGAGTCAGTGATTCTAAAATCCTTTTGGTTATTTGTGGTTTAGTGATCCATCATTAGCTTTGTAAATATTTGTAGGTGGACAAAAATTTGAATGCCAGAGATGTTGTATCCCAGTGTTTAATGTTGGGCCATTTCTGCTATAAATGCCTAAGGGACTTGTTAAATAGGTAGGTTCCTGGACTCCACCACGATCTACTAACTGACTCATCTCTGAAGAGAGAGCCTAATCAGTCTTTAACAAGTACTCTATGTACATTAAAATCCAAGAAGCACTGTCTGGTTTTGTTTACAAGATGGAAAACAAATGACGTTTTGCTATTGTTGATATTTTACTTTTTATATTTGGGAACCTAAGAAAGAAGTATTTCATTTTTTATAAAAACTTTTAGGATCTCCTCAATTTTTTCTTTTGCATGTCTAATTTATTTTGTCTTATTCCAGATTTTCCTTCTGGTCCAAAGCAGAAAATGGCGTGATGGTCTTTGTTCCAAAACAGTGGAATATCATCGTCTAGACCAGAATGTTAATGAGGCAATGCCTTCTCTGAAGATTACCAATGATTATATTTTTTAAAGCAGTGTGTTTTGAGTTTGCTTATTGCATAATTTTATTTGCTTGACTTTTTATATGATGTCATGCAGATTTTCCCCATAGGCATTTGGTATTAAATGAGAGGTGGGTCTCTCTTTATTTTGCCTTGGTGCTTTGGAAATTAAATGTCACCAACAAGGAGTATATAATTTTTTATCTACACTCTCAGAGGTGAATTCAATCAGGTGTCCAAAATGTGGGGCTAAGCATTACCTGTTAGTTTCCATTGTTTTAGATTTCTTTATTGTACTTCTGAAATATTGTACTAATAAGTGATGCTACTTTTAAAAGATCCCAAACTTGTAACTAAATTCTAACATATCTGGTACTGCTGACTCAGATTCTCTTTTTGCCATCCAAATACTTTTTTTAAGGACACATTTTTTTGTGCTCCCAAACTGTAATCTGTAAGAAGGTATGTAATAATACTTTGCATATAAGTAACATTTTTCTTTTCCAGGAAAATTACTTTGGATATTTTTTGATAATTTAAGCATAATTTAAGATAATAATATTATTCAACCTGACCACAATTTTAGGTCAATTAATAAATGTTTCTAGAAATTCTGGCAATAGAGACTCTGAAGTTTGCAGTGGACATAGGTGAAATGTTATAGAGATACCACGTTTTGGTTCAAATTATTGAATTAAATTTAGAGGTAGAAATCATGGTAAAATATTAAATACATGTACAATTGCTTTTAGTTAGCAATTGATTATAGCACGGGTTCCTCCAAGCTTTCAAGCAGGGGGCAGAGTTTAAAATTATATCAGATTTTTTTACTTTGTTTATTATTTTATAGTAAGTTTGAATAAATTTTAGTGGCCATTATCATTTAAGTAATATTATGCCTACATCTTTCAAATTAAAATTAAACCTGAATGAAGTTGTATACATAAAGAATATATGTGTACACTGATGTTTTCTCCCATTTTTTAGTGGCAACTGGAAATTATTACCGTATTTTATTTAGCCTACCTATCATAAATAATTGATCAGTGTGTAAATATTTGATTTGAACCATGGTTGACTTACAAGTGTCACTACAACTTTTGAGAAAACATAACCCCTAACGTATGTCAAACACCCACTCACAAAGCCTGTGTGAGCAAGTGGGCATGTGCTTTGTGTCACGATGGAAGGGTCTGAGCAGTCTGTCTATTCTCTCGGTGGGCAATTTACTGTCCTCATAAGGAAGGGAAGCATAATGGAAATACACCCAAACTGTTTTATTGCAGTAATTTTTTTCATATCTGAAATTGTATTATTTAATATTTTGAATAAGATTTTAAAAAATAAATGGCAAAGATATCAATCCATGGTTTTATAAGTGTGTTTCATTTTAATGATGGCATAGGGTCCTTCATTTGGGTGGTCACAAAGGGTTAGTGCTATGTCTGGGGGGGAAGCTAAACTGACTAGCTTGCTTTTTTTTCTTTTAGCAATAGAACTCTGCCTCTATGAATTCCACTTAACTTCAAAATCCTACTTTAGGTCCAATTTACTGCTAAGTACTGAAGTTGGAACTATAGCAAAGTAGGATTGCAAAGAAAAGTAAAGCAACTAAATCAATGTGTGCTTTCTATCATGCTTGCTTCTTCGTTGTCTCCCTATCCATCCTGGGGGATCATCATCCCCCTTAGTGGATCTAGGGTTCTTGGGTTCTTCCTGATGGCACAATCTTTGCTACTCAAGTCCCAGTGCTGAAATCAAGTAACCTCTGACTTTTAGAAATCAGGTTGCACATGGATTAAAAATGCCCCCAGAGTCTTGCAGAGGCACTTGAGCTATTGGTTTATAAATAAATTACAGATATATATATATATATATATATATATATATATATATATATAATTTTTAAATGAATTTGATCTCATAGAGATTTTGTTTTTAGCAGTACAAAGGTCTTTTATTTTTTTACACTTATCATGCCATGAATTCATACAGAATGGCTTCCAACAGCTTAGGCTTCTTCCCATTGGTTCTCATAAAGTGTGCATCTCTGGGCAGAGCAGGCTGGTGCTTCAGTTGAACTCAGGTACCTTTTTCTTTGACTTCCTTCTTTTTCTGATAATTTCCTTCATGTTTCAGGAAGCTATCTTGGCTCTTAGAGTGCTTAGTATGCTCAATATGTACATGAAGTCTCTTGGCAAGAATCTTGCCCTTAACTTGTTTACAGCAATGCCCACTGCATGCTGGGTGACATTGTAGACTCTTCTAGTTTTGCCATGGTAATATCTGTGGGGCATTTCTTTTGGAACAGTGCCCATTTCCTCGATGTCTACAATATCATCTTTCTTGTAGATTTGCATGTATATGTGGCCAAATGAACAACCCATGTTTTCTAAAAGACCTAGAGAACCTATAGCAGGTGCCTCTCCTCTTTCTCTTTGTGTTAGTCATTTTGGCGAATTACTGGAAGATGGCATTTCCAGCTGAAAGGTCATATACAGTTTTGTGTCTTGCTTTTTACTTGACAAACATGAGTGTTTTCCATATCTTTAAGATTCTTTAAAAACATTTAATAGCTATCTGATTTATTTAGCTATTTTCCTGTTGACTGTTTAGGTGGTTTCCACTTTTTGGTTCAGCAATAATATTGTGTGAACATTTTTGTTCTGGAATTAGTCTGTTGGATTCCATGAGGCAAAGGAGGCATAAATAGGACTGAATGGCACAAATAAGACACATTTGAGTCTTAGAGTCTGTATCCCCTCACATGTGGTGTCTGCCCCCTTCTCCTGTGTCACTTTCTGCATGGGCCAGGAGCTCTGCACCAAATGTTGGTGCTAATGGTATAATAGATTGCCCTGTAACTCCCCTTTCTGTATCTTATTCAAAAAGGACTATGTTGAAACTTCCAAGGCAGACAGAAACAGACATTCAAAATGTGTCAAGACAGGCATGTCTTGAGTGGAGTTTTGATTTTAGATGTGAACTCAGGAGGGTGAGTGCAAGTACTTTTGTAGCGTGTAGGAGGTCCTCTCCATGTATGTCCTGTAGAGTGTGAGTCTGAGAACAGAGACTGGCTCTAACCCATCTCTAGCCCCTTATACAGCACTGCTGGGCACCCACTAGCCCCTTAAAATGATTCAGTGACATGTGTGTGAAGTTAGATGAAGAGAAAACCAGGACAAATCAGGTTGTGCACCAGCTCATGTAGTCGGCATAGTCTAATTCTACTAATGTCTGGGACCTAGAACTGCAGGCAGGATGTGGTGAGTCTGCTTTATCTGAACGTCCACTTTCCCACATGAAGCTTAAGCCCACATTAATTGTGTGAGATCTCACCCTCACCCCAAATCCCAGCTTCCCATCAGAGCAGCTGCTGCCCAAGTGGCAGAGGAGACTGTCCTGTGATTTGAGGTCAGTCTGTAGCTGGATTGTGTTCACCTGTATTTTTACTTTTACATGAGGAGGGGAAGTTGCAGGGGCAGATTCTGGAAATGGAGCTGGAGCCATTTCTGACTGTCATCTCAGTAGCTCTGTGTAGTGGTGACCTGTTGTCTAGCCTATTGAAGTGACTCAAGGGAGCCTGATTTTTGGACCAGTAAGTAGCAGCTCCTACCTCATAAGCCCCAAACCAACCTGTCTTCCAGCTGCCTCCTAAGGAGTCCCAGAGCTTTCTGCTACTATGAGGAGGCTCTAGATTTTAAAGCCTTGCTCCTTAGGAAGTCTTTCTCAACCTAGCACCCTAGTATGTGAAACCCTATGCTGCTTTCTCCTATAACCCCCAACTGCCTCTTTTCTCTGCTGAGAAACCCAGAGATGCTGTGTTCTGGGAATCCGTACTTTCTGCACGCCCATTTCATAGGGCCCTTTGTGCCTGCCTCCCAGGCCACCCCTTTGCATGCGGGTTGGACAGCTCTCCCATCTGAGAGACTTGCAGTGGGTTAGAGCTACGGCGGGCCCTGGAATCAGAAGGTCTGGGTTGGATTCCCACTCTGGGCCTGACCTCCAGGCTCAGAGTCCTCCCCACAGTGTTTTGCAGACTCCAGGGAGAGGCCAAATGTATTTCCTGGTCCCCTTGGGAGGGATGAAGTCGGGGGTCTTGAAAGCTAACTGGAATGTCCTAGGGCTAGGGCTGAGGATGTCCTGGCCCATGTTGCACCTACCTGTTGTTTAGGAAGAGAGACCTGGGGAGAAATGGAGGGGAAGGAGGAGTGTGGGCTGAGGTCAAGGCCCAATGACCTTGGTCTGAGCTTTGTGTTCCTATCAGTCTCCTACCTTGTAAAAGGGGCAGTTTGATAGCTCACAGGTGTGTCAGGAAGAGAACATGGATTTATGTTTGTGAAAGGACTTTGGGTATGGGGAGGAGTTTCTAGCATGTCACTGACCACAGAAGAGCCAGATTGAGCCTCAGGCCCACCAAGGAGTGAGAGCCTGAAGGAGCTGCTTAGGAGATGCCCCCAGTCCTGGAACTGCCTTCCAGGCTCCCCCAGGGCTCCCTTGACACACACTGCTTGTCGGTGCTGGGTGTACCCTGAATCATCAGGCATGTACAGCCTGCTAGGTGACAGATGGGGCTTCCTTGGAGCCTTCCAACCCCATCCTCTGTTCCCTGTCCTCATCCTTTCCCTGAGAGGGTCCTTCCCCTCATGCCCGGGGCTGTTTCCAAGAACCTTTGCCTAGAGGCAGTGGGACTCAGGACCCCAGAGAGAGCTACTTTTAGGCTACTTAGCATGCCTGAGCTAATAGGGCTTGCTCCGCTGGGGGAGCAAGGACGGATCAGAGACAGGGCTTGGGCTCTGCGGTTCCCTTTCAGGTGTCCACATTCGGCCATTACTGCCGCATTGCATTAAAAGCAAAACATCTGGGCTCCTTTCACTCAGGCCCTGTGCTATGAGCTGGGGATGGCAGTAGGTCAAGACAGACACTACACTGTCTCTGTCCCCATGGTGCCCACTGTTAGGCAGAGAAGAAAACAATAATCATAGTGAAGTGTGATGAATGTTTATATGCCAAAAACTGGATTTCACTTTTGTTTCTTTACAGTAAAGGTAGTTTAGACTTGTGGCAATAGCAGCCAACACTTAGTGAGGGCTTAGGATGGATGGGCACTTCCTGTTCTCTGTGCCCACCAGCCCAACACAGATGGTCCCTGACTTAAGATGCTTTGACTTACGATTTTCTGACTTTACGATGGTGTGAAAGTGATACAAATTAAGTGGAAAACATACTTTGAATTTTGAATTATGATCTTTTCCCAGGCTAGGGGCAGTGAGTAGCTGCTCCCAGTCAGATACGTGATCACCAGGGTAAACAACAATAACCTAAAGTGTATTCATTGTGTGAGATGATTTTGCCCAACTGTGGACTAATGTAAGTGTTCTGAGCATGTTTAAGGTAGGTGAGGCTAAGCTATGGTGTTTAGTAGGTCAAGTGTACTAAATGCATTTTCCACTTATCACATTTTAAACTTATGATGGGTTTATTGGGATGCAATGCCATCATAAGTTGAGGAGGATCTATATTACCCCATTTCTCAGGTAAGGAAACTGAAGTCTATAGTTAAACAACTAGCCTGAGGTCATACAGCTGATAAGAGAGAGCTGGGATTTGAATTAAGGTAAGGTCTGACTCCTCTGACTCCAGACTTCCTGTTCTTTATGAGGCAGCTACAGAAAAGTAAGAAGAAAAATTATCCAAAGTTTTCTTCCCTTAGACCCTAAATATTGAGTTGTATCCTCTTTTTCTTCCTTTTAAAGCTACTTTTATTATGAATATAACATAACACACTATATGAAAATGCACCAAACAAATGTACAGCTTAACAAATTATTCCAAAGCAAATACTGTGTAGCTATTGCCCAGGCAGAGAAATCAAACTGCAGGCACTCCAAACTCTCCTTCTTAACCACTACCCCTCCCTCCCTCCCTCTCTAGGGAACTGTTATTTTCACCTTTATGGTAATCACTACCTCACTTTTCATTTTAGGCTTACCACCAAAGTATATATCCCTAACACTATAAATTAGTAAGTTTTGGACTTCTATAAAAATTAAATCATAGTGTGCATTGAATATATTCTTTTGTGACTGGTTTCTTTCACTCTACATTGTGATAGTGAGATTCATCATGGTAGTTTGGTGTGTAGCTGTAGCTCATTCATTTTCATTGCCCTATGGTATTCCATTACAAAATATACTGTGTTATATTTATCTAGTCTACTATTGATGGATTTTTTAGTTAGTTCTGTTTTCAAACTATTATGGATCATACTATTAGAAACATTTTTATACAGATACATGTCTTTTGTTGCTTGTAGGAGAGTTTGCATTTCTGGTGGGTATATGCCTAGGAGTTGACTGGCTAGATGCATACTTGAATAGCTAATGCCAAACAAGCTTCTCAAGTGATTGAACCAATTTATACTCTCTAGTAGTAGATCAGAGATGAGAGTTCCTGTTGCTCCACATCCTTGCTAACACTTGGCATTGTCAGTGTTCTTAATTTTAGCTCATCTGGTGGA